ATGCAAAACAAAAAATGTCTTTCAAACATTTTTATTACGCTGGGAAGTAGCACTATCATATAGGTTGTTCATATTGAGTGTGGGAAAACCATCAGAACAAGTGAATAGGAGTCTCTTTATAGAGCTTTTGTAGAGCTTTTCAGGGCGCATCTTTTCAAAACAAAATCAAGACTTTATCATTTTCTCAAGTCGAGATATATGCAAAATAAAAAATGTCGCAAAACTTTTGCAACACCCGGTATATGGAAATCTTTGATTGATGCAAATTTCATTCATCAATATTGTTTACCTGATACAATACCTAATTTAATATATTTCGATTTTTATATTTGTTCACAATGTCAATTATCATTTAATGATATTAAAAAAATAACTAATTCATTTAAAGTTCATTCTTTTTTTATTTCACATTAATGAACGAATGTAAAATGTTTGTTTGATCCAATCATGTCGTGTCAACATCTTTTCTCTTCTTTTACTAATACATCTCAATTCTCTAATAATCAAATATGTATGATATTTATCTTTATTAAAACTAGTAAAGATTCTTAAATCAACAATATTCTTTTTCTTTTAGTAATTATCCATTTGTTTTTAATTGGTTATATATTGGCGATCTCTTCTCTCATCCACATTCATCACTTTATTTATTTCTCGAGCGAGGGTGGGTGTGGGTGTGTGTCTCTGAATGTGAATGTAGATAATTGGTTGTAGATGTTAATCTCGTACAGAGAACATTTATCATCATCCACATTAACACTTCATACATTCTCATACGCACATCCCATGTACATGTACACCATCGTGGCGTAATCATAATTTATTTATACAAAAGAGAAGATGCTTAATGTGGCTTTTGATCAAGAGGAAACATCACGACTCTAGAACATCGAAGTAAGAATCAAATACGAGTAACACATGACTAAAGTCTGATACTCACCGTACTTCACTGGTACTTCATGGTAGTTTAATCGAACTTTACGTGTATTCCATCCGTACTTCATTTCGTACATGAAAGCACTGAAGTCAAGCTTTTTTTCTTGCTTGTAATACTTCTGAAGCATTTAACTCACATACGGACTCTGAGTAACAAAACTTAATAGAGCGGAATGAAAGATTGATAAGAACAGATGAGGGATGTTATGAATAAAAAAATACATGCCTTTAACAAATTCTAGTTGCTGATACTTTCGTTCAGTAAATAAATAATTTTGAAACATGTTTTTACTAGTCAGGTTATTTGTTATGAAGGCATATATATATATATGAAAGAGAAATAGAGCTGACTGGGAAGCTTGAAATGAAACTTGTACTTGCAAGCTGATAGTTCATTCCAAAAATATAAAGTATGAATAATCATGACTTCAATCTGGAGTGTCTATGTTGCTTGAATTGCGAAACACAATAGAGAATAACGTCGAGAAGTAATTATGGCATGGACACCATCGAGTGTTTTGTCAAAACAGTAGTGACTATTGTTGATGAAATTGATTAGAAAAGGTTCGAAAACATAAAAATGCTTCAGTCTATTTTTGATTCTGACACCTTGATTAATAGTGTGTTCTAGAAGTACAAAGTACGAATAAATATGACGTATGCTTGGATTGTCTATATCGCTTAAATGACGACAAAAAATAAAGAGTAACATCGAGAGTTACTGATAATATGGAACACTTCGAATATTTTATCAATATAGTAGTGACTTATGTTGATGAAGTGGACTGGAAGGTGTTTGATCACATAAAAATGTTTGACTCTCTTTTCATTCTAACAACTTGATTGATAGTATGTTCCAGAAGTGCAAAGTGTGAATAAATATGACGAATGTTTGGATTGCCTCTATCGCTTGAGTTATAACACACAATAGAGAAAAATATCAAGAGGCAATTATGGCATGGATACCATCGAATATTTTATCAAAACAGTAGCTACTATTGCTGATAAAGTTGGTGAGAAAATGTTCGAATACATAAAAATGCTAGACTCTATATTCATTCTGAGAGCTTGACAGCGTCGAGAAGAGCAATCAATTTTGATGTTGTGTCTTACATATATTTCTATGTTGAAAAGAGTTTGGATGCATTCTGCATTGCTTCGACAGAAGAGAAACGAAAATAGCATGTCGCAATCAACATCCAATATTCAATTTCAAAAATAATATTACTTCACTTCAGTCAGAAACAGAAGACTATGAAATTCATCATTCATTTACTTTTGTATGACGAGTCTGCAAGAGTGTATTCATTTTGTACCAGTGAAAAAGAATTCAATTACTGAAGATAGATCGTTGATTCCATCGTTCACCAAGATATGTTAGCGAGACATAGTGTTTGGGATATAGAGCCACCTCAACGGCTCAGTGTTTGGGATACAGAAACATTTCGACCGCTAAGTGTTTGGCATACAGAATCGCCTTCAAAGCTCAGTTTGTATAGCCGTGTGAACTCTTCCAAGAAAAATATCACAACCTATGCAAGCAGGTAACCTATTCAGTAATTAGTTTTAGTTCAATGCATGTCGCCATTAACCGTATTTGTTGGTTTATTTCAGTAAAGTATGTTGGTACAAGCCAATCGTCTTTGGTATTATTATTGGAGGATTAGTAGCTGGAATTGGATTGGCAACAGTGTTCACTCTTTACATGAAGCAACTTACAGCACCATGTATGAAATAAGCGTGTAAAATTTGAATCGAGTCAGTAGTAAATGCTATCAATTAGGATCAGTAAATTAGCTGAGCTAACTTGAAATCGACTAATCCAAATATGATGCCTCTAATATATATTCATGCATTTATTTGCTCACCAACTGTCACATCTGACATGAAAATATTTCCAAGTGTTTCAGAAGTTTAAACTTCATATTTATCGTACACATAAATAAATATGAGAATGTTGCAGCTTTAAAAGAATTTTTACGAATGTAACTACGAGATGGAATTAAATTCGTTTTGTGAGGATTTCAACCGTTGATTATGATTTTTCGAAGGCATTGAATGCAGGTATTCTGCACCAAAATATCGGATGCATGAAGAACATGTAGTCATCAGAACGCCCCGGAGGTTTTCTCTTATATAAGAGTATCTTCTTTAAAATATTTAACAGTTAGTAAACGTAATTTTTCTCGATAAATGAAACGCATTTTCTCAGCTAAGTATCTTGAATAAGATATTCTCATTTGAGTGGAGATTTTCAAAGTATTTTTTCTGAACATCAGACTTAATTACGTGCGAAATTTCAGCCGAGAACTAGTGCACTCGATGTTTTCAGAAAACTATAATCATAGGCGGCAAACACAGTGTGAGAGTGTTGTGTGTGTGAAAAGAAAAGCCACATTCGGAGTTTATTTGGTGGAAGTATTTACTAGATACAATATCTAGGATAGATTTTTGTATACTGTGTTCATCTATGTTAATATCATATGTGAAATCGTATATAGCTACCCTGACTACAACGACGGCGACAACCACAACGACTACTACAACGACCACCACAACAACGACTACCACAACGACAACAACAACAAGCACAACAACAACTACCACAACGACAACAACAACAAGCACAACTACCACCAAGACAACGTCGACCTCAAGTGAGACTGTTCTATCTGTCTTAGATACCACTAAAGCTTCTGATACGATATTTTCAGAAACCTAAATTGAAAGCGAATGAAACTGGAAGATATTGAGAAAAGATTCGAGATTTGTAAATTTCAAGCAAATATATGTACGTCTTTAGATAGTTGATATTTGTTAAGTGCTTTTAGACAGGATTTCGTTAGGCAGAGACATGTCACCCCAGAGTTCATACATTAAATTAATTGATAAATATGTCTGCCTCATGAAAAATCAATCACTTATGCTTCTGAGTATTATTAATTGCCATAGAAAAATTAAGATTTATAAACTGCTCTTTACAAAATCATTTAATAATCAGTCCACTTCGTATTCTGCAACGATTATGTACTTCAATAGCTTCATAAGAAGTCTCTTCCATCGATAACTACGATAACCTATTTTACTTCACGTGCTTTTTAACTTAGAAAACTTTCGTCCAGATTGAACTGTATTTTTAATTGGTAACACATAATTTTAGCTACCACAACTACAACAGCTGCATCCATAGCTACTGCGTTCTGGTCATTTGATAACAATGCTCTCGAATTATACAATGGTCTTGATGGTACTCTTTTCGGTCTTCCATCATATACAACCAGCTTACTTGGATATGGAGCAGCAATCAGTCTTACTCAATCATTAACTCAATATGTTGCTATCACATCAGCTATAATTCCTTTAAATTTGCGTAGTTTTACCATCGAAGCATGGATCTATCCTATTGGTTTCACAGGAGGTGAGTATGGAATATTCGGGCAGTGTCAATCTACAAGTACTAATTTATGTTTACATTTTACATCACGAAATGATAAACTATATTGTGGTTTTTATGGGAATGATGTACAAGGTGTTACGACACTAACAATGAATGTATGGACACATGTTGCTTGCGTCTACGATTCAGCCAGCCAAATGCAGGAAGTATGGCTGAATGGTGTGCTTGATGGTTCACATTCTGCAAGTCCTTATGAAGGTTTATGGGGAACAACAACCATTGGTGCTACGTACAGTACAGGAAGTATCGCTTGTTTCAATGGCTACATAGATCAAGTTCGATTTGAGTCTAGAGCTAAAAATAGTACTGAGCTCTGGAATGATGCTTCTCTTTATGTCTACTATTCGTTCAACGATCTTTTCC